TTTATAAATCATTCAGGAATTGTTTTACGCAAATTGTTTAAATAAAGAGGATGTTGTATTTTAGGTAACGAAATACAACCTTGTTTGTAACAATAAATGTGATTATTAACAAAAAATCTAATTAAGTTACAATTATACTTTTTTTCATTTTTATCAATATAAAGATTCATTTTAATATTTTAAAATGATCGAAAATAATATAATATGTACAGAATCGGAATGACCTTCCTGAATTAGCTAGTGCTAGTGATTAATATTAATGACATGAAATATGTACGGAGATAATGGAAAAGTCAACAAAGAAGAATATAGAGGGAGTGCTAGCTTAAATTGATATTTCCCAAGATACTCATATAAAATATGGGGGAAACCTTGAGAGAATGATTAAAAGCCTTATCATTGAATTAGAGGCAGCATTACAACAGAATTAGAAATAATTGATGGAAAAATAATCATTACTTTTTATTATGAACGTAGATGGACTAAGATTAAAGATCTTTTGCAAGAAAATATTAGAAATAGAATCGATTTTTTTAGATTTCTCAAGGATTAAAAATGGCAGCAAAGGATTAGAAAATGGCAGCAAAGGATTAGAAAAGAACTTTTGGATAAATAATTGTGAGACTGAAGGATGATTAAATTACAAAGAAATGGAGGACTAATCCTTATGTTTAAAGCTACACAAATAAGTGAGTTTACTGAAGAATGCACTAGTTTGCAACTTGATTAAAACTAAAACATAGGCCTCTGTTGATAACTCCTTACATAGGATTGTTAAGTCGTATGAAACTAATGTAATAAGGGAAACATTTTAACAATCTAGGATAAAATGTGGTAAACTTGAAGGATAACATATAGTAATTTATTGTCAAGATTATCTTTGTTCAGATATAATAGTGAAGAACTTTTGAAGCTTAAAGAGATCAGTAGAATGAAATTGATAGAAGAATTTGGTATTCTCTCCTTGGATGAAGACAGTGGGTTATTTAGATACTAGGATGAGGAGAGATGAGACTAAATGTATCAAGGATGTAAAAGGAGTAAAAAGAGATAATATGGGTAGCCTTTTTGTGTGAGAATTTAAAAGAATAGACAGCCAAGTAGAGAAAAAATATATTTAGAAAAGAGTCAAGATATCTAAGAAAAGAAATAATAATATCGTTATGATAATTTTGGAGGAAGAGGAGTGGCAAGTAAAATGGTGAGTAAAAGACAATTAGAAAATAGGAAAAGCATTATCAGAAAAAATATATGATTTGAACCTTTTCGGATAATTATAATAAATAGAAAAATACGAAATCCAATTAATACGACTCAAGATTTTAAACTAAACACAAATGAATGATTCAAGAAATTTGGTTGCAAAATCTCTTTAAAATTTTTAAGAGACTTGATTGTAAATGACAGATTAGTTTTAGATAGAAATTTTTGATATTCACCAGAAATATTAAAAAACCTTAATATAAGAAAAAGAGTGATTATGATCTACAATGGTATTCTTAACTGATGACAATAATTTAAGTAGAGAAGAATACACTGATCGTTGAGTCTGCATAAGAAGTAATAGGAAGATTTACATGCGTATTATTTAATGATGGCGCTAATATCTGATGGAGCCTAAGATATAAACAATATTATTCAATAAATTTCCTTAACATGAATAGCTATACATAAAAAAGATTAGGGCACTTCTCTGATATTTAACACTACGTACTGTAAAGGGATATGTAATACATATATGGATAAAGTTAAGAAAGTTAAATCTGCATTTAGAAATTAGGGTACACTTAAATGAAGAATCTATCTAAAATAATTATATCGGCAGAAAAAAGAATTTGATTACCTTTCTCTACATTTTTAGCGTTATCTGTTGATGATGGATGCAAATTCGCCTTCTTATTTATAGATTCTGTCTTTGTAATAAGTCTTTTAGATACAATATATTCATATCAATTTAAGAAGCCTTTTATTTTAAAATAAGTACATTTAATTAATTTCAATTAATACAAAGATTGTAGTTTTTGATTTAGAAATTTAAAATGATCCCATTAAAAGATCAACCAAAAAGCTATTAGAAGATTTAGAATATATTTACTTATTTTTTTCTCTCATCTCAACAAATTTCGATTACAATTTGGGAAAACAACCTCTCTATTGTCAAATACTCAGGTTTCTTCTTTTTTAGTTTTAAACAAATTTATTTCAATGATTAAAATAAGCAAAAAGAGATACACACCTTATTTTAAATAGTAAGTAGAACTACATAAAAGATAATACCTATGCCATCGGAAGTAAAAGAAGAAAAAAGTATTGAGAAGGACAAAAGTGTGGTAAGAAACATATGTAATTTAAAAGGAAATTATTAAAAGAGCAGCAGAACTAGTGATAAATATATTCACAAAATCAAAGTAATTTATTCTAAATATTTAAAAATCAAGCAAAGAAATCTGTAAATAGGCAAATAACCGCAATTAAAATCTATTTTTTTTTTTCTATATCAAACTTAATAAATTAAAATTCAATATTTAAAAAAATAAAGTTATGGATTGGATTAACTATTAGAAAGAACAGCTATTTGAAGTTTTCGCTAAAGTTGAAGATGTTGATGAATAAATATTCGGTCATACGATTGAAATACTTAGAATAAAAAGCATATCGAACAGTCTAGGATATCTTTCAATTAATGAGAATCAAAGGTATTTTCAATGATAAATTATGAAAATAGTGAATTTATCATATGAATATAAATGGTAGAATTTAAATTTTGTAAGAAATAGCATTAAGATAATTTCTAATATAATGAGTTTAATAGGAATAATTACTCATCTGATTTATAGAAATATATAAAATATCATGAAGATAATTGAAATTAAATATTCAATCATTTTATTTTAAAAATTTTTAGTTCATCTCACTGCAATTTATTAGTTGAAGTGAAAATTGATCTAAAAAACTGATGTTTTGAAAATATAAAGATTTTGAATTTTTCTATAATTGGAGATAATTTTGTACGTTGTATTTTAGTGGATCAGAATTTAATAATGTAGATATTAGTGGTATAAACTTTAAGGGAGCTTAACTATTTAACTGTAGATGAAAGAACTTGAAAATCCATGAAAATAATATATTGGAAGGCCATATTAGTTGAGTGGAATAGGTATGTTTCTCTCCTGATGAAACAACTATTTTATCTTGTAGCAGGGATAACTCTATCCAATTATGG